AAAAGCAGTGTGGGAAACCCCTCCTCTCACAGCTGGAGCTATAGGTGTTCCTCACATGCAGAGTCTGGCTCTTCCTCGCACCCCCAAGGGTTGCGACAGTGGGTCCTGGCAGATGTACTGACTTATTTAACTTCTTCTTCTCCAGTATTACTATTTTTCATAATAAAATTTTCTCTTGACTTTCAGAATTTTGAAGTGAAATATGTTAACAATAGTTACTTCTAGCTGACAAGATTACAATTTTTGTTGTTGTTTGATATAGTTTTAAACTTTGCATTTCTGTAATTTTCTATAATAAATACAGATTTTATATTTAGACAATAATGCTATGAAATTTAAAGTATGTAGGCTGAATCTTTAAAGAACATATTAATTAGGAATGACAGTACAATGGACTGACATTAGTCTACCAAAACCACTATAGAAAAGAACAGACTGTCAACAGAACATAGAAACAAGGTAAAACAAGAAACAATTAGCTGTAGATAAGATCAAATAACTGTAACTAATAGCTTTATTTTCACAAGATTTTGATAAATGCACTTACTTTGACAAAGGGAAATGCTAATGTTTATCTATAATTCTTAATGGAAAAGAAATTAAAGTTCTTCTGGATATATAAAATTTATTCTTTAACCATTTTGTAGTGAAATGAGATTAAAAGATGCAAAATGAGGTAAATGGGCATGAAAGTACTTTATAAAATTACAGCGTTTTGCAAGTCTAAATAGTCTTATTATCACTGTCATGCTCAGCCCTAGTGACTGCTGTGTATGACCTGGCATTCAGGATTTGAAGACGCCCCCATTCTCATCAGGTAGCAGTAAGAGTCTCTGAGCTGAAATACAGATAGTCCCTAATACAATGTTTTCCTGTAAGTCTGGGAACACAGTACTCTGATGGCACAGTGCAGCTTAGATGCTTGTGGATATGATTGCTCCCTTACTGTAGACATAGAAATCAGCATGAGTGTGAATACAACAATTTTCTTATTGTAGATACATGAGAAACTCTAGAAATAATCTAGTACTCCCACATTTTTTCAAGGCTGTAGAAAGATATTAAAAAGCATGAGCAAAGCCCCAGCCTTTGTAGCCACTATGTGGATTTAGCTATTCTAAGTTCTTAGAACCCCTAAAGCTTGTCAGACAAGATCTGTAGGTACCATCTCCGGTCAGATGGAAGAAATGGAGCAGCAAGCACAGTTGAATTCAGCTTTCCTGGCTCAGAGAGCCAGACTTCAGCATTACTGTCTTTCACTTAAAAGTAGATGAGATTATGAGGGGTTCAGGAATATTTGGGTTTTTACCCCAACTTCACCACTAATTAAGAATGGTTCTTGGAGTCACTCAATCTCCTCAGACACCAGGGTTCTTATTAGTAATATATGACCCAAAGAGATAATAAATTTGAAAACTTTTCAAAATTAAAAGTACCAAGGAAATAAAGACCCCTATGTGCTAAAGTTATGAACAACATAAGAGATGGCTATAATCAGTTCACAGAGGGCTGTCTCCTCTGGTAAGGAAAAAGTCCATGCACTATCTTATACCTGAGGAAACACAAATTTACAAATTTTCACAGGAAACACAGGGTGTCTTGCTGAATTCTCCCTGAATGATATGAAGGCCCCCAAACTATGTTCTTGTTTCAAAGGGAGAGACCTAGATCTGAACTGAGAGTCAAGAGGACTTTAGAGAACCAGATAAAAGATGCATGAACCCAGGCTTCAGACATCAGGCCAAACTAACACTTTAAAATCATGAAAGAAGGTGAGGGGAAAAACAAAAACAAAAAAAGCTTCCTGTGGGAGGCAGAGTCCTCGAAGTCACTGTCAATGGATGGACAGTATGTGTAACAGACTAAGTACCTTCTCTGGTTAACAGCTCCAGGAACTGGAACTGCCTTTGCTGGTCTCCAGGAGACTGAGTCACAGTGCTAAGCAGCTAAAATAGCTTCTGTTAAGCAGCAAAATTCTGCACAGTGAGAAGTGGGGTTATGACACATGTGGTTGGTCTACTACTGATTACATCACCACTACAGCCAGAAAATCCAGCTGCTGTGTCAGGCATGTTAAAAATGGAAAGTGTACAGTGGTTGGTAGCTTTCTCCTCAGGCATTTCAAGAAATTATAAAGTCAATTTTCAAAATGGTGCCTAGTATGCAGTAGTAGGTAGGCAAAAACTATGGGCCCATGAACTCAATATTCTACAGGTTTTCAGAAAGGCAGTCATATAAACTTCTCTAATGGAAAGAACTGGAGAAATAGAAATATCAAGACCATAAGGACATCAAAGGCCTGGCTGGAAAAGTCCCCACACAGGAAAGTGTGTGGGCCTGACTTCTTCCACTCTGGAAGGGGAAAGCTTGGGCTTCTGGGGCTGGGATAAGAGGCAGAAGGTCTAAAGAGTGAGACAAGTGTATTAAAGTTGACAGGTCCCCAAACAGCATTCCTTTCACAATGACAGTACTTTAATGAAAGGTATATAGGAACACTGGGGCTTTTAGATTATAAAATGAAGTCCATGAGACGTACCTGACCTGGCTTCCATTCACTCACTCCACCTGAGGGATTCTGGTGCTAGTTTAAAAAGTATGTTAATTTCTTTCCTCCAGAATATTGCCCAATACATGGATACATTATTTCTCTGTTCCTTATAAAGAATTACAACCCAGTATGCTTAACCCTCCCATCACCACCCCTGTCCTGCCACTGTCAAAACTCAGTTTAAAGTAATTTTTGACTTTCAAGAGTCTTTGCATCCATCAGCATCCACTTTTTACCCAGGATTTCATCTGTCTAGGTTCAAGTATCGGCTGACAAAGAATATGGGTGGGAAAAGAGTAGATTTTGGAGTTGAAACATTCTAGTTTCAAATCTTTATTCTGCCCTAGTAAGGGCTGAGTGACCTCAAACAATAACTACTCAATCTCTCTCTCTCTCTCGTTCCCTCCCCTCTCTCCTCTCTCTCTCTCTCTTATCTCTCTTTTGGCCTTTTTTGGGACACAGTCTCCCTGTAGCCCCAGCTGGCCTGGAACTCACTGTGTAGACTAGGCTAGCCTTGATCTCATAGCGATTCGCCTGCTTCTTGAGTGCTGGGATTAAAAATGTGCACCACCATGCCTGCTCGCCCCCTCTCTTTCTCTTTTTCTCTCTCTCTTTAAATTTTTTTTAATATTATGTGTATAAGTGTTATGCCTGCATGTGTATAAGTGCACCCATGTTGTGCAGTGTCTGCAGAGGCCAGAAGATGGTGTCAGACTCCCTGAAACTGGAGTTATGGATCATTGTTAGCTGTCATGTGGGGGTTGGGATTTGAACCTGAGTCCTCTGCAAGAGCAGCTAGTGCTCTTAACTGCTGAGCCATCTCTCCAGACCTCTTTCTTTTAAAAATATAAAATTTATCTATCATTTCCTCTGTGTGTGTGTGTGTGTGTGTGTGTGTGTGTGTGTGATGTGTCTGAGTGGGCTCCCAGGCCAAGGCGCACATATGGAGGTTAGAGGCCCACTCTATAGCGTCGGTTTTCTCCTTCCACCTTTATGTCGGTTCTGAGGAAGTAAATCAGGCTTCACCAAGATTACACGGAAAGCATCTTTACCTGCTGAGCCATCTTGCCAGTCCTGATCCTGTTTTCTAATCTACAAATGAAAACCATCATATCACAGATGTGTGGTGATACTCAAGCTAAACTGTGAGTCTGCACACATTTTTTTTCTCTACCGCCCGTGGGTGGTTTGATGCTATATAAATGTCTGCATAAAGACTAGACCCATAACAAGTAAGAGAGTAAAGATGGTGGTATTACAGGCAATAGTTCTGTAGGTTCAATTGGAGTGTGTTCCTATTCCATCACTTGGCTAGTGTGTTACACTGAGGATGAGAGATCCAATGTACTCTACCCAATCTACCCACTAAAAACACATGGATGTAGTCACATTCCCTAGCTGTTACTCTCAGAGAGCACTGGTGCTTTTGAGGATAAATCCAAATCTATTAAAGAAGTGAAAATGTGGTTGTTGGGATGCTCAGTGGGCAGAGGCACTTGCGCATGGGCTTGATGGCTTGAGTTCCGATCTCTGGATACCACTAAATGATAGGAGAGAACCAACTCCCAAGAATTGTCTTCTGACCTCCACAAGTGCACTGTGGTGTGTGCATGTGTACACACACCCACACACCCAGACAAATACTTTCTTAAAGAAGAGAAAAATACAACTAGAAATGTGTAAAAGTAGCACCATGATCCTTAGGGTCTAAGTTTCCTGAGAATTTGTTAAATATCATACTTTTAAAAAACATAAAATAAACATTAAGACATTTGAATAGATACAGAAAAATGTTAAATTAAATTTAAAACAAAATAAAATAGTATCTCAAAGTCAACAAGCATTTTAAGTGTCCTGATCTTATTATTTCTCTGGCTAACTATAGGAAGCCACCTATCACCTTGTGTGCAATTAGCTTACCATGTAGATAAGAAGGTAAAACCATCCTGAAACAGGAAACCAATATTCTTCCTGTCTAATCAACAAATCTAAAGATTTATTCCTTTCATCTATCTACTCTTGCACTTGTCCACCACAACAGGTTGCTTAGAGGCTCAGAATAGTTTTGACAGAGAAAATTTCATGAGTTACTTTGGTATCTCCACCCCCTTAAAGAAAGGAGGAAAAACTGTTTCATACAGAAGGCGTTTGCTGTATGAATTAAAACTGCCACCTAAGTGTGGGCTAATGTAACCAACAGGGATTTCACCTACATCCATTCAGTCAGTTTATGGGGGTTTAAAGAAATTCCAAAGAGTCATCAGAAGAGGAAAAACAAAGGTAATGCTTTCTGCCACACAGGTAGAGTTTTTGAAAATATGTGTAATATGTAAAACATTTTGACACCCCCATATATTTTTCCAGCATTAACAGTATAAATAGCCTCTCCTGCTGAAGTGCTGCCTATCCCCCTCGGAAATCACTACTGGCAGTGACATCAAATCCTGCAGCAATGTACAACATGCAGCTTGTGTCTTGTGTTGCTCTGACTCTCGCACTCCTTGTCAGCAGTGCTCCTACTTCAAGCCCTACAAAGGAAACACAACAGCAGCTGCAGCAATTACTGCTGGACTTACAGATGCTTTTGAGAGGCACCACTGTAAGTGCATTTCCTTTTCAATTATATATTGCATTTAATTTTTTCTCATCAAGTTCATGTTTTAATAACAATGTTATGCTTTCTCAGAATCACAAGAATTCTGAACTCTCCAGGATGCTCACATTTAAATTTTACATGCCCAAGAAGGTAAGTGAGATTTTTTTAATGTTTAACTAATGTTTTAATAAAGTTCCAAGTAACATGCATAGCTACATACTGATTATATGAATAACACCTAATCTGAGAGAAAAAAAAATGAGTTACTTAAATATCTTTATGTAAAAAGTACTAAGTTTGCTAATAGGGCCTCTGTTAAATTGTTTTGTCTATATTTTTAAAATGTACTTTTGTGTTGGGAAAGAATGAGAAGAAAACACAAAGATAATATTTATGCTTTCTTGCCAGCATAACTAAAGACTGTGTTGACTTCTGCTTTATGTTCATTTTATAGATATTTGACTGCATAATTTTAGCATGTAAAAAAATCACATTTTATTTCAGAGGGGCTGTCTTTACAATCTCTTTCCTGCTTTAGGAATGATTCCTAAGACTCTGTCTTTGAGAGACAGCATAACCAGTCATACACAGATGAGGGGTAGATGCTCTGAGGGAGGCCCAGTTCTGCCAGGTCCTTGCTCTCACAGCTTCAGATAGTTGCCTACTTTCTTTCCTCTACTTATATGCATGATAATTGTCATGCTTGTAGCTCTGGCAAGATTCAGAACAGTGTCTAGTCAACATTGCACAAGCCTAAGCTATTAGTACTAGTGAGGACAAAATTACTAGGAAATATAAAGCAAGTTTGGATTTTTATAAAGCAAGTTTGGATTTTTTACCAACAGAACAAGAGACTTTTTCTACAGAACTTTCCCCCCAACCCCAAAATTGGAAGATTTGTTAGGTCTCTTGGTTGCAAAAAGTCGTATGGTATACAGTAGCTCACCCAAGCTCCTAGAGCTACATCAAAGATATAAATTTCCCATAGTTATGCCAATCAACAAAGGATGAACAACAACAACAAAAAAACCTTTGGTACCAGAAAGAGCTTGTATGAGGATAAACCCAAACCTAGAACAAAATGGGATTTAAGGAGACAAAGACAAAATCCTGTTGACCCACTGGGAACTCTGATTTTTATCTACTATCTTGCAGATGGAAAGGAACTAGCTTCCAGGTGCTCTTCTGAATTAATTAGAACATATATCTTTCAACTTCAACAATAAAAAGACAGTAGTTTTCTGAGGGAAACAGTCAAGCTTGAATATGTAGAACTGGTCATAACAAGTTTAAAGGGTAAAAAGCAGATGTATCCAGAAATGTGTTATCTGGTTTGACCTTTCTCTCTAGAGAGACAACACAAGATTATGTGCATAATTTAGAGAGTGGTGAAATTCCTTGATCTAAGTTTCTAAATGACAAACTATTGGAAACAAAGGTAACATGAAATTCTATTAATTTGTTCATTTAACTACCATTCTGTATATATAAAATTAATAGACGCATTTAATTTAAACGATGCTATTAATGCCGTCATGAAAAAGAATGACCACTTCACTTTACCTCCTCTTGCTCATTTGACCTTCTCAGATTCAGTTTCCTGATTTGTGACATACGGATAACACAGTTCATTGCTTTACCTCAAGAGGGCCTGAAAACTTAAAGAGGTTTATTTTTATGGAAATCATAGTGTGCTATAGAATTGTGAAATATTCTATTTACATAAAAATGCATGACATATTATCATGTATGTATATATTCCTTCAGAAATATATGTATGTATCAGGAAGCTTATCCAAAAGTCCTGTCCAAGTATTAAGTTATTGTGACCTTTTTATTTGACTGGGATAAATCAATTTAAATGATTTCTTTAATAATTTTTCAAATTTTAATTTTTTATTACATATGTGTGTGTGTGTGTGTGTGTATGGAGGTACATGTGTGCCACAGCATGCCTGTGGAGATCAGAGGACAACTTACAGGAGTCAAGCACCTTTACCTGCTGAGCCATCTCACTGGCCCTGACAAATAGATATTTTAAATACATCCTAATTTAGTAATTGTAGAAAAATGAAAATTGTAGATATGTCAAATGTGTCTTCCCAGCTATATTGACACTCATTAATCAGGGCCACAGTAACCTAATCTACAAAATTTTGTGCCTGTGACAGTTGGCATCCAAGGACTTCTTCAGTCCCTTATAGTTCTAAGATTCTCAACTTTTGAGAATTTGAAGTTTTCATTTCCCCATTCTCTATCTCTAATGACCTCATAGCAGATTAGAAAAGTAGTCTACACCTGTGATGTGATGGAATAGGGAAATGAAGACTTTACAAAGCCTAATACAGCTGTAGCAAATAATTCACTGGAGTTGTCTAACAGTCCTAACCATATTTGAGCTCTCATTTTTCTAGTTTTATGATATCAACTTTGTCAGTCCATCTTCACAGCAATGCTGAGAATAGGGATAGAGTAAAAACTGTATACTGCTGCACTTAATCAGATAACAGGGAAGATTAACTTCCACTTCTTTAACATAGGGTGAACTGAGCTGATATATTTAAACTATTCTAGGCCACAGAATTGACACATCTTCAGTGCCTGGAAGAAGAACTACAGCCTCTGCAGGAAGTCCTGAGCTTGGCTCAGAGCAAAAGCTTTCACTTGAAAGACACCAGGGAGTTCATCAGCAACATCAAAGTAACCATTCTGAAACTAAAGGTAAGGCACTGCTTTATTTGCTAAGTTGGAAATAAGATCAATGAGAGGAGAAAAGTATTGCATTTTAAAGTGGCGTAACATTTTTGGTATTTGTGATTTCCCATGCATTTGATTAGCCACCCTGAATCTGAATGATTTCCACACTGGGCAATGCACTAATCAATGTCCTCTGCAGTGCCTGGGCACCAACCACCGTGGCCTCTCACACTAACACAAAACTGGAAGTGAGACAAAGCGTTTGCTAAAATTCCATAGAGAGTCAGCATATTTCATTTCCTTCACACCATTTATCAGAATCACCAGGACTAAAAGAGGTAGCCCTGCCATTGATGGAAGGACTAGCCACAGAAATTTATTGTAAAAAATAATAGACAAAGGGGAAGACAACTAACACTTTAATTAGAGCACTTCAGGGTTTTGAGTATTAAAAAATACTCATTTAAAAAGCACAAGTAAGTGTGAAATAGAAGGCTCAGGTGAGATGAAAAAGACTCAGAGCTCTCTTATTCTATCTGCCAAAAACAAAAATTTATGAGTAAACAGGTATCATAAATAAGCAGAATAATTTTGATTGCAGCAAGCCTCAAAAAAGATATGGAGCCAGCTGTTTCCAAACAAGAGTGATATTGTTTGTAGACACTTTCATTTGAAGTTTATAACATACAAGTTGAAATCAGTGTTCTCTAAACAGTGAAGGGCAGGCTCTTATCTATGCCAAGAAGCTCACTCCAGAATCCCTGGGCAACATCAGAAACTTACCCTAAATGAATGGTACAGATTTAAAACCATGTGCAAACTGGAAAAATGTGTTTCAAGAGCCATATATTTTTAAAGTTAAAAAATCCAAGATATTATAATATTTAAATAGCTGCATATAAGACTACAGCCGTTTATTTAAAAGAAACACTTATTTAAAGGAAATACTGTCTCGTTAAATTTATAAGGGATTATCTGAAAAGACCACCCCATAAATATCACCATATATCAAAATACTTCATTTTTTGCTTGTCAGCGAGATACAGACAGAACTGGAGGGTAATTTCCAAAATGCCAGTCCAGGGAACAAATTTATAATGTTTACACTTAAAAATTGAGTAAATTACCTTCATTGACATAAGGGTAGTTATGTCTATCTATGAAAAGTTCATCCCAAAATTTCCCCAAATAGAAGCTTGTCCTAACTTATGCTGAACTGCTTCTATACTTATTTGCAGAAAAGAAAAGGAGAATACTAGGATCTTGGTCAATGTTTATAAAAAAAGAACATATAATGTGTATATTTCCTCATATATATAACCTAATCAATATATAGATTGTGCACACACCCAGAAGAAAATAGGTCAAATGACTTTATTTCATATGTTTAATAAATTATAATAAACTATTATCTACAGATGTTTTCATTCAAATTTTATTTTTACTCAGTATGAAAAAAAATCTTATATTCTGCCAGGAGAAATAACAAATGAGAAAAAACTCAGCTTGTATGTTGCTATCATTTGGTATTATAATAAAACACAGAATTTGACCCACCATTTTTATCATTTAAAAATGTGAATGATCAATATGTTCAACAAGCTTAAAAATGAGTGCCTGTAAGATAAGTGAAGAATACTTTTATGTAAACTATTCTAAGCCTAAAAAATTAAATTCTTTTTTTAGGGCTCTGAAAACACATTCATGTGTGACTATGATGATGAGACAGCGACTGTTGTGGAATTTCTGAGCAGATGGATCACCTTCTGTCAAAGCCTCATTTCAACATTGACATGATAATTATGTGCCTCCCACTTACAACACATAAGGCTTCTATTTATTTAATATTTAAGATTTATATTTATTTTTGGATGTACTGTTTGCTATCTTTTGTAACTACTAATCTTAGTTTTTAGATGACAAATATGGATCTTTTAGGATTCTTTTTGTAAGCCCCAGGGGCTCTAAAATGTTTTCATTTAAATTATTTATCTGAAATTATTTATTATGTTGAATTGTTAAATATTATATCTATGTAGATGAGTAATTGAACTATTTAGTAAAGTTGGTGACTGTAAACAAACTCGGAAGTCTGTCGTTTTTGGAACAGTACAGAGTAAGCACTAAATGATTGAGTTACTTGTGTGAACTAAGTGATGTTCAATGGTCAATATGCTTACAAAAATCTCTTCCCCTGTATGTAAAATGAGACAAGGACCTCTCAGAATTCTTATGCTCCTTTTAAGTGCTAATTAGATCCTTAGGTCTGGCATGAGAAAATCTTATCCTTTTTCCTTAAATTTAAACAAAATGCTAAGTAAAAATTCTTGAAACTTTGTCACAGTTTTTTCTTGTGTTGTTATAAGAAAATACCTAAATCCTGATACTTTACATAAAGGACACATTTATTTAACTTACAGTTTTGGATGTTCGAGAACATGCTGCCATCTTATGATGGGTTTTGGTGAAGGTATCAAGGCAAGATGGCATTACAATGGGAGTGAGTGCAGAAGAGGGATAGTGTGTATTATGAGAGTGAGAAAGAGAGAAAGAGAGAGAGGGAGGAAGGAAGGGAGGAAGGAAGGGAGGGAGGGAGGGAGGGAGGGAGGAAGGAAGGAAGGAAGGAAGGAAGGAAGGAAGGAAGGAAGGAAGGAAGGAAGGAAGGCATAACAACCCTTTCTGCAGGAGCTAGTCCAGTCCCATAAAATCTGAACCACTCTACTGCAGCAGCATTAATTCATTCATGAGGGGAGCCACTGGCCCTAAGATAATTACCTTCCACCAGCTTACCACCGTAGCATCATCGTGCTTAGCATCAACTTTTTAGCATGTGATCCTTTGGATAATAAGCCATAGCATACTTTATGGCATAGTGTATCTTTATTAAACCTTCCTTCTTGGGTATGCCACCTGTTTTCTTCTAAGACTCAAAGGTAGTAATTATACCAGAAATAACCCCAGTAAAAACACTAAAAATAGGATTCTGGAACTAGACTCTTCATGTATTAAAGGAACACAGCAATAAAAAGACACAGGGAATTGATGACCACAGTATATTCTAATTTCTCAGCTTATTGTCAATGGTAATATGGGATGAAATGTAGATAGAAGACAAGGTGTTCTGAAACCCAATGGCTGTGATATTAAGTTGCTGTGAATAATGAATAAAGTTGAATAAATGAATTAAGTTGAGTAATGAAAGCAAGAACAAGTGAATGAGATTTGAAAAGGAAACAAACAGCCAAAAAGAGGTACTTAAATCAAATTCCAACAGCTAACTTGTTAGGTATAAATGAAAAAAAAAAAGATTTTCAGTTGACAATCCATTTACATAATCCACCATTTAAAAACACTTTAAATAGGACAAACATCGGAAATAATAGGAAATAGGATATACTGTGTAACTACAAACAAAAAAGTAGAACAAAAATGTAGGTCTGTAGATTAACAAAAGTCGATCTTAAAGCAAGAAGAGTAGAGAGAACAGTGACTTTATATCAGTGAGTTCATTCAGCAAGAATATGCAACAATTCTAAATGAAGTCTAATCATAACACAGCTTTCTCAAGTATATAAACCAAGACTTCTGCTCCTAGTCTTGATAAAACAGTCACAGAACAGCTGTCTTGTAAATATCCATGAAAGTGGAACTCTAGGCCACACACAGAACCTGCAACACCTAAGGAGATAGACACAAAGCGCACATGGCAGTTCTGTTGAATTAAAGAAAAACCAGAATTCTGCCAAAGTGACCTTGTGGAGATATGTGAAGCAAACTGACAGAAAGAAGACAGCTATAAAAGTATCTATGGACATGTGTATTTAAAAGATCTAATGGTTGTTTTCTGAGAAAAAAAGCTTTGTATTTTCAAGTATGAGAGTCTACAACCCAGACAAGTAGCAATGGTCAGGGAAAAAATATGCATGGAAACACTATAACTTCAACAACTTCTGATGCTTGAACAGGACTGGAAGACAGTTCCAATGAACCAGAGTGGAGAAACTCTCAGACCACCCCGAGAATGTTCTACAAACCAAAGAAAGTGTGTGCCTTAGAAATAAAAGCAATCTCACTTTGCTAACTTAAGAGTAGTAGAATTAATCCTACCCTAGAGTACATCCTAGAGTGCTATCCTAGGTGTGCCCTCAAAGCTGTAAAACAGCCACTAAAGACTCAAGATGGGTCAAGATGGCTCAGTAGAGGTGTTTGTTATTAAGCCTGATGACCTGAGTTCAAGAAAGAGACAACCAACTCCTGCAAGTTGTCTGCTGTCCTCCACATGCAGCCATAGCATGTACACACACACACACACACACACACACACACACACACACACAGATGATAAATGTAATAATTTTTTAAATACTAAGATGATAAACTAGCAAATTAATTCCTTACTACAACAAAATTCAACATTTTAAAAGAGTTCTAAAACCTAGAAACTCAACTACAGAGCATCAGTAATATCCAGCATGTAATCCAAGTGATCAGACAAGTGAACAGCATATGAGCTAAAACCAAGATAACTGTGAACTCTGGATAGGAGAAAACTTACTCATTTGAAAATGACAAAAATGATTAACTCAGCTATTATAAATATGTTAATAATGTAAAGCAAAATCTGAACCCAATGAGGGAAGAAATAGATACTTCAACAGAAAACAGAAACTATGAAAAAATTATAGAAATGCACCAAAATTCTGGACAGAGATTATAGAACTGAAAGTACATGAAATGACAAAAAAAAATCGCTGGATAGGCTCAAAAGGAGATTATTACTGAAGAAATAAAGAAAATATTACAGCAATATTACACAAACTACTTCAAAGGCTAGGAAGAAGAATACATTTAAAAAATTATTAATAAGCAAAATCTTGACCCAAACAGATAGGCCATCATCTGTGACAGACAGAAACATAAAACCTGTAACAAAATATTGGCTAATCAAAATGAGTACCACTGTGACACTCTTTTGAGGAACCCAAACCCACATTGTGTGTCATATCCTTTCCTTGAGTAACTTTCCATCTATTAACCTCTCTGCTTAAATCCACATTAAAATGTTTTCTAAGAAACTCTAGCTCTGCTGTGGCAGGAACCCCCTAACACAAAGAAAAGGAATGTAGTGTGGTCTGTGCCTGAGCACACAAACACAGTTCTGCTTGTCATGTCTTTGTAGCAATGAATGCCCAATCAGGATATGTGTGTTACCATATATGGGAGACCACAGGAATGACTCTTACACTATGGACATAACCTGAACTAAAGACTTTGACCTAACCTTACAATCAAAAAGTTATTCATAATGTAAACAAGCTTACTGAGCCATATGTTCCTCTTGTGACCTTAATCCCTCATGGCCCCACCTTGCCCTCCACCCAAGGTAGTGTATGAACGTAGGTATGCACACTTTACATATCAAAGCACTGAGAACAGCAAGCTTTCTCATTGCAAACAAAGAGAGAAATTTAATGTGTAGGGTATTCTAAGTCTAGGGATCAAAGAGCAAGATTCTCTGAGAGTGGATCCTCACTTCTACTTTCCCATGTCATGCTGGAGATACTGTTTCAATAAAAAAAAAGAACAAGGCCCTGCTTGGTGCACAGTTCCAGGAGACATCTGAAGGAACAGGTGCTCAGCAGTTCTGGGGCACTCTTGGCCTTATGAATGCTAAAAGTCAAGCTGTTTCTTTTTTCTATTTTTTTTTCTGAATTTCTGTGTATTTCATACAGAACAACTCAATTATCTTTATACCCCCGTCCCCACCAGCACCCTCCCATTGCCGCCCCACTGGAACCCATATACTGTGTCAACCATGTTAATGCACACTGTGTCAAGTCAGTGTCTCTAGACGTTCCCCCAATGCAAGTCCATCCACTGAGGTCTAATCAGCCTATCTAGAGTCCCTTGTTTTAGGAAGATCAGTTCTTCCTCACCTAGAAGCAATCAGTTGCCAATATTCCTTCACCTAAGATTGGGGTCTGCTATTCATTTCCCCAGTTCTATGCTGGGTTATTGCCTGCCTCAGTTTGCATGGGACTTGTGTATGCTGACACCATTGTCATAGACTCATATGAGCAGGTTCCCAGGAGCTTGTAGGACTCTGTTTCCATATGGTCATGCACCTCCTCCCTCTTAGAATCTTTCTGCCTCCTCTTCCACAATGGTCCCTGATCCCTGAGTAGGTGAAGTTTAATATAGGAGCCCTGTCCAAGGACCAGCATTCTGCAGACTCTTAATCTCTATGTTTTGGTCATTTGTAACCTTTTCGGTTCCTGTTCCTCTGTTGCATGAGAGAGCTTCATTAAAGAGAACTGAGAGATTCATTAGTGTCCTCTTCTTTACCCCTATCCTATGTTCCATGAGCCTTAGGTGTAGAGGTTGCACTGTAGATGTGTCACTTAGGCCTGGGCAATTCATTGGCAATGTCTGTGTGACTGGTTGTGGTACTTGATAATAGTCTCTGACTGGTACAAAATAACCATCTTTGATGACTGGTGACTAGGATATTTGTCTGTAAATATAAGGATACATATTTTGCACATAGTAAGAAATTACATTAGTCTAGGGATGTGACAGTCTTGGGTTTTTTTCTAAGCTCTATGGCCATACCAGCCATGTGTTTTGATTATGTTTACAGTACCACACTTGAGTGAGCTTTTAGTCCAATTAGGTACCTGTTGATTGCCCCCAAGATAAAAGTGCCACTACTGCACCAATGTCATATGCTGTTCCAGACACTGATGTGGTTATTTGGTCTTGAAGCTGGTGTGGACCATTAGTTGATGTGTTCCCTT